AGTCGAAGTATGTGAAGGAGGGACTGCTTTCTCTTTTATTTCCCAACTCCTCAATACTCTCCAAGTCGAACAATGAAGGGACTAAAGAGATTAGGAGTAGGACTAGAATGCCAGCCCATGCCCAAAGTTTGTAACTTTATCCAATCATGTAATCAGAGAAACAAAGTCAAAGTAATATAAACTTACGTTTATCAAAACCGCCTTAACAAAAGGTTAAGTTTGACATAGTTCGAACAACACCTATTAGCCCTCAGCCACACCTTAACTAAAGGTTAAGTTTGACATAGTTCGAACAACACCTATTAGCCCTCAGCCACACCTTAACTAAAGGTTAAGTTTGACCTAGCTCGAACAACACCTATCAAACTTCGGCCACACCTTAACAAAAGGTTAAGTTCGACCGGCTCGAACAACACCTATCGGCCCTCGGTCACACGTATGGAAGAAGGCGCGGAAAATAACTTAAATATTCATATATGAATAAAGAGTTCATTACAAGGGCTTTTGAAAACGCCAGCAAAAATACACAAAAGTCTAAAGGGAAAACTACTAGCCCTCACCATCACAAACCTCTACGCCATCATCGTCTCAGTTCCCAACATCCTCACCACCCTCACCCTGAGGAAAAACAGTATCATACAAGTCATCCTCCTCAAGCCGGTCTATACCCTCTTCTCCATCCTCTTCGTTAAGTCGAGGTGTGGCAGGATCACACCCACAGGCGACACGAGCTTCGCGAGCTTTAACCGATAGCTTCATAAATAGAGCCCACTACGTACAAGTCCCGAAACATATCTAATCGGGCCTCGACATGGATCCACTCTCCGTACAACTCCCGAGGTATACTAGGAAAATCTGAAGCATTGGGAAAAGACGGACGTACAAGTAGTTGAGCTCTCTCGGCCTCCAGAGCGGTCACTCGATCATGAAGATAGGAGCTCTCTTTTTCCAACTCCCCGATCCTCTCCCCGAGCGGGTCCTCCTTAGCTCTCGTCATTGAATGGTCATTTTCTCGCTCGGCCCGAAGAGTCTTATTCTCCAACTCGAGGATCTCCTCCTTCTCAAGTTCCTTTTGCTTCTCCGCGATCGCCACTGAGGGCTTCAGCTTGAAATCGGTACTCTTCAAGTTGTCCTCGCAACTCAACCACTTGGGCTTAAATATCACTGCATTGAGACTTTACGCCCCTGCTAACCTCAAGCTCCTACTCTCTACTTCTCAACGTCCCTTCAAGGATGATGCACTTCTCTATGGCTTGAACCAGCTCCCTGTCATTCTGCTTGAAATGTTCCCTCAAGGTCTGCACATCGCCTCCCTCTTGAAGCCAACTTCTAAGATCCTGATACTTGATGTGATACTCGGTGTATTTGCATCTTTTTCTCTTTTCGGGGACTCTCAATTTCCAGAATCACCGTATGCAAACCAAAAAAGGGGTTAGAACTTGGAATGTTCTAAAGAGTTAGGAAGGAGTCATACAATAATACATACCCTGAGAGTGAGGCCGGCAATTCTCTTCGACAAGGCACTGTCGTTTATGTCCTTGAGGGTCTTACCCTTGACATCAGAATTGAGAGGGACGAGGGTAGGGACTACCTCCTTAGTGTTCACCACTAAGTCACGATCCAACGGGATCATGCTAATCCTCAAACCCCCCTTTAACCTCACCTCAAAATGGGTGAGCCCCTCATCAATCATTCTTAGGTCGTCCAAGTCGACATCGGAATCTGACTCGCCGCCCTCTCCAATAACACTCTTTGCCCTATCTTTAGTAGCCAAATAAGAATCTGCGGATGTTCGAGAGGTTGAAGCCTCCTCTTGCCACGAAAGTTCAGGGCTACCAGCAGCCACCTTCTCGGTCTCCCTCCCCTTGAAATACAGAGACACGCCTATATTAGCTTCCATCGTTCTTGGGGCCTCAAGACTCGGTTTAACATCATCATTCACAAAAATGGTCATCGTCTCACGCAGCGTAAAATCCCCTTCCACATCATTGATGGCTAGAGGGAATCCGTCACCCACGTCCACAAACCTCCTTTTTTGAGGTTGAAGATCCCTGTCGCTGGGTGAATGCTCATCGTCCTCATAAATAAGTGAAAATAGAGGAGGGGTAGAAGTCGTAATGGGTTGAACAGAGACGGGGATAGAAGCATCGAAGATTGGAGTTGGGACAAAGGCACGAGTGGCAATGGTCTAGGCAGGGGTGGAGGCTGAAGGCGTAGTGGCCCTCCTCTTATGGAACGAGGGTACGGGGGCCCTCGACCTCCTTATGGACCCTCTAACTGAACCTAGAGAAAAATTGGAAAGGAAGAAATCAACAAAAGGAACATACATAGAAGAAAGAACTACGACGTCGACAGTAGGGAAGAGATTACATGCCGAGGGAAGAGACAACTTGAATCTTTGAAAGAAACTCATCCAGTCACATATCCCCGTAGTATGAGGAAAGATTTGTTTGTCCCAGTTGGCAATATGGGTCACCATCTGAAGAGGTTGAATAGTAGCTGTAGAAAAGGAAGAGTTGATTACCCAGCCCACAACAAGAAAAATTCTAAAACAAAAAAAAAACACAAACGAATATGAGCACTTACGAGTAGGGTTCCAAGCCTCAGGGAAGCCAGCGACGGCAAACACTACGGTCTCGATCCTGACAAAGAATTAATCAAGCCAGAAATGCCTACTAGCCTTGTCATTCATCCTCACTACCAAACATTTTCCCTGTGGTGGTGAAGATTCAACAATGCCCCTCGATAGAAATGAGGGGCGAAGAGATGGATCATGTGGCGTACTGTTATATCGACGCCATCTAAATCATCAAATTTTGTCAATATTTTGACCACCTTAAAGATGTAAGGGGCAAGCTGCGCTGGGCATACGTTGTAGTAGTGACATAACTCTTCTATCAATAGTGGCAAAGGGAACGAATAACCGATTATGAACGGATATGCGTAAAGGGCGCAGAATCCGGGACGATGAACCCGCACTTCGTCGTCACCTGCAAGGACCAATTCCATGTGACCAGGTAAGCCGAGCCTAGCCTTCAACTCACCTAATCGTTCAACTGTCATTGTAGATTTGAACCTCTCCGTCACCACTTTTGACGCCTTTTGAAAGTCGGATTTAGCATCAGGGTATCGAGGTACAATCTCATCTACAGTAGGGAGGGGTTTTTCCTCAACGACAACTCCGGCGTCTTCCCCCTGGTCAAGGAAAACGGCATCTAGAAGGATAAAATGATCTTCCATATGGATATCTGATGGGAGGTTTAACATTGTTATGGAAAGAGATAGAGAAGTATAGAAAGCAATAGAGAATTGAAAAGGTTCTACGAAGGAGAAGGAGAATCCCTGCTTATGAAGTAGATAGAATATGGGAAAAGTTTCAAAATCAACAAACCACCCCTTATTTATAAGGCTTAGGGGCACCAGAATCGCAACGACAGGCCATAATTAGCACGAAAATCGAAATAGTAGAACTAATCAAGGGTCACACGTGAATCGACACAACGCGTCAGGAAAAAACGTCATCATGACGCATGCCGTCATAGCATCACTCTTTCTCTGGGACCGAATGGCTCCAGCATATTACCCAAAAAATTCAAGGAATTTGAAACACACGGTCCGCAGAGAGCCACATTGCCTGATCGTTACCACAATCACGACTTGTATAGTCAGCTCGATAAGCTCGACCACAAAGGACATTACCCGCTCATCGAACTCGCCCATGAGGACAACCTCAACAAACATAGGGACTAACTGTATGGCCCAAAATATACCTTTGACATAGGTAGGCCACATCAACGCCATGATAGCCTTTATCAGCCCCCATGTGTTATCATTAGGATTTCAACAAAAATCTTCCCCAAGTGACCTTGTGGCAATGAAGGGTGCGGTCGAAGAGTGAGCGAAAATCAAAGTCGTGAATTCCTTGTATATCAAGGTGGAGGTCGAGAATCTTAGACATAGTTATAGCGGCTAGTTTTAAGATAAGACGAAAAAGAAATTATTCCAGTGGATATTCTCTGCACACGTACTATTATGATTTTAGGGAACATGTTCCCTATAAATAGAAAGAAACACAATGATAGGGGACATGAGATATTCGTTTCGAAGAAAACTTATTGACTTGATATAGAGAATCTGGCCATATTACAAGCATACAGAAGCAACCTTTTTACTGAGATTCTTGTCTAACTTTTTCACTTGATCTAAGAATAACCTGAGTGTTCAAAGGCTCACCAATCATTCATCATTGTTAGAAAGAATATCCACAGATCACACATATTTTCGGGTGACTCACACTTTTTATTTACTTAAATGCCATTCATTACTACTTATTATTATTTAATGCTATCTTTCACTTATTTGGATCATTAAATATTGTTATTATTGCTCACATTTATTGCCATTCGATTAAATATACGTACTATCTCCCATAAAATCGATAACCTTGTCTTTTGGATATTAATATTAACTAAGATTGACTCTATTTTATTTAAATCTAATTGGTTGAATCCATATCTAAATTTTTGGGTCAAGCAGTAATAAGTTAGATAAAAATTGAGAAAATGACACTATATAGCTGCTCTCAAAATAATAGTCGAAAAATGTATATTCTTTGTGTGTGTGTGTGTGTGTGTGTGTGTGTATATATATATATATATATATATATATATATGTATGTATTATGTATGCTATATATAAAAATTATATATATTTTATATACTTTTTCGACTATCGAATATAAATAATTTATGGCACGCGCTAAAAGCGAGAATACCCAAAACAATTCCTAGCACATAAGGGTTGAGCTTGAGATGGGCTCGGTTGGGCCAACCCGTTTGATACCTCTACGGTTTGAAACACACGTGAGGAGTGAAGGAGTCAACATATTAGAGTAAGTATATAAACTTTTAATATATTATAAATATTGACTGACCTTTTTATCATTTGAAATTAGTACATTCCATCCTGACTGACAAGATTGTATATTAATGAAAAACAATTTGATTCCTACTGAAAACGTACTTTCCTCGCGGAAAAAGAAAAACAAAAGTATTTTCCTTTTTTATTAGCGCTTCGCTTTCTTCCGACTGCTCTCTCTCGCCGCATAAGTGAAGTTTTTAGGCTCTGGTCTCTACTTGTCTTGTTGGTATCAGACATAATCCATCTTTCCTGTGCTTCTGGTCCAGGTAATCATCTCTTTCTCTTCCATTGGAACGTTAACGACCAAGCTGAAGTTTTAGTATTTGTTTCCGTCTTCTGAAATTTCATGTCAAAATTCAGTTTTTTGGGTCTAAAGATTCTAAATAGTAATAAAGGCTCTTCTCCCCTTTTTTTGGCTGTAAAGACTATAAAGATCAGGATTATTTGCTCTTTGTGATTGCTGTGACTATTAACCACACTCTTTTGACATTGATTTATATTTGTAGTTGGAAGAAGAAAGTAAAAATCTAAACTTTATCTCATTCTGGTAGTTTTCATTCCCCTCTTTATCTTTGACTAAAAGCCCCTTTTGTTATATAGGAGATTCGTGCATTCCATGGGGAAAAGATTGCGGCTTTACAACTATTTTGCTCTAAAGAAGGTGACATCTTGACTTTTAAAATAACATATCTCTTTTGTCTGATTTAATTGAAATGTTTGTTGTCATTCATATTGCTTTTGTTTCATTCTTTTTTTGTAGTGTCAAAAGAGAGTCTGCACTGCAGAAGATCGCATTAGTCAGTTACCTGAAGAAATTCTGGTATATATATTATCTTTCCTTACTGTTAAGGAAGCAGCTGACACAAGTGTCCTCTCAAGGCGGTGGCTAAGGTTGTGGACATGTATTCCTCGGCTTGATTTTGATGCTACCAAACCCTTGGATGAAGTAGCCTCACAATTCAAGCTACGGAAAAGGCATATGAAGAAGTATCTGAGATGGGTCAACCGTACTTTGCAAATGTGTAAAGGACAAAGACTGGACCAATTCCGGGTTAATTTTGATTTAAACAAATTTGCGCAGCGTGAGATTGACAGTTGGCTTGAATTTGCCCTTTCTAGGGAAGTTCAAAGACTAGAATTAGACCTATTAAAGGGTGGAGAGGACATTCGTGATTTTGATTACTGTTATACTTTTCCAGAGCGACTCCTTGGTCTCAATGGCTTTTCTTCAGGCCTACCTCATTCTATTAACTTCCAAACGTCCCCACTTGTCAGTCAGAATTTCAAGTCTGTTAAAATGCTGCTCTTGAAATCCGTAAATGTGACGGGCGAAGTTCTTGAGTTCTTTCTACACAATTGTCCGTTTCTTGAAAAAATGGTTGTTCATGGATCAGGAACATTGGTAAATTTGGAAGTTGTTGGTCCATCCCTCAAGTTGAGACACTTGGAGATATGGTACTGCCTCAATGTGGAATCACTTAAAATTTGTGATACAAATCTTAAAACACTTGGGACTTCATCAGGAAAGAAATTACTGCTTAAGAATGTCCCGATGCTGGTTGAGGTAGACATTTTGGGTTGGCCATACACCCATATTTTGGATGACATATCCTCTCATCTTTCCTGTGTTCTCTCTCAGCTGGAGGTCCTCACATTACATGCTTCTCATTCTTTGGTTAGTAAACAAAATTTACCTAACCTACCTTTGTTTTATGGAAAAGAGATCTGGCGGACAATTCCAGTTTGTGTTTTCTGGAACTTATGAAAGAGATGAAACAGTAGATGTTTTGATGAATTAACTCTCCCTATAAAAATATTAAATTATATGTGCGTACAGCAGTTAGCCTTTTGGTGCAAATTGAAGAATGTGCATGAAATAGAGAATAGGTTAGAGTTTATTAATTCTCTACAGGCTTAGCTGCTCAATATGTTACTTTTGTATTTCAGCACTATCTGCAGTAATAAAAGTTTTACCTTACCTATCGGAAAAAAATATAATTTTGTCTATCTACCTTTGTATTGCTAGCACTAACTGGTGCCTTCTCTGTAGTTATTTTTGCAGGAAAATTTGGAGCATTACAATTTACCTGAACTAAGTAAGCTCAAGAAATTTGTCTTAACTATATTCGGACGGAAAGACCAGAGTCTGTTAGGTTACACGTCTATCATAAGGGCTGCTCCACAGTTGAAGGAATTTGAATTACAGGTAAGTATAAAGTTTTGAGTTCATTTTCCTCTTTTGCTGATATATGGTCTGAAAATCGTTTTAGCAATTTTGGTTTAAGGAGTTATTGATGCTTGTTCTTGCGTATCTTACTTATTTAAGTTGTCGAGCATGAGTTGAAACAATTGTGATGAGCTGAGTTATTGATGTTCGTTCTTGAGTATCTTACTGTTTCCTCAAAGTGATGAAACAGTCGCTTTACACAACTCTGCTTGTTACCGTGTCAAAGAAGATCAAACTTGTCAAGTCTCTTGGAATTGAAAAAAGGAACAGGAAATAAAGTCATGGTATAGGTAGGTAGAGCATCCAACTCAATTGATGCATTTTTTGACCAAAACCCATATCCTTCAATAATGAAAGCAACTAGCCCCAATATATATGATCATATTTGCACCGAAGGGTGTGGCTTAGTTGTCAATGAAATGGGAGGAGAATCATGAGATCTTAAGTTCAAATATAAAACCACTAGGTGATTTTTTTTTCTTTTCTATTTGCCTAAGCCTTTGACAGAGTTACCCATTGCCTTTGCTAGTGGGAGGTAGCAAGTATCCAATGTAATTAGTCGAGGTGTGCACAAGGTGGCATGGACCATCGCTATAATAAAAATGATCAAAAGCCTTTTCGATTATCCGATATCTAATTTCTATATGTGACTAGGGATGCCTTGTCTTATCCATGAATCAAGATGTTCATTCATTAGCAATGAAGATTGTACGCATGATTTGTCTACCTTTGAGGAAAGCCAACTATTGAGAGGAGATCAATTTTCAATATTCTTCTTTAGTCTATCNATATTTTTCTTTTTGACGAGAAATCAAGCAAAGATTGTAGTGCACAAAAACTAGATCTTCGGCTCTTGAAGTCTCTAACTTGTTTCGTTTGATGCTATGGATCAACGAATATGTGCTCCGATTCCTTTCACAACAAGAAGAAGAAGCCGGTTGTGAAAGCAATTTGTACGCCAAGCTTTGCAAAAGTGGAGCGTTTACACCATGGTTAGCCCACCAAGATAGAGGCTCCCCATACATCATAGCTTCAACCACATGAGGCTCACTAAAGAAACCACTCCCACTTGCGAATGCTCGATACTCCAAAGATGCTTGTTTTAGATCATTTGAATCTTTAAAGTATCTTTGAAAGCATTTAACTCTATTGAAGGAAATCTCTCTATCCTCATTTGAAGCAAGCCTTCGAACCCCATTGCCTTCCCCTTTAAGCCATGATTCATGGTAGTATTTTGGTACCAAAGAATGTGCCATACAATGTAAATGGGTGTTACTCTTATTCCACCTAGCAACAAGAATTTCTTGAATTGTATCAAAAAAGTTTGATTGCCCGATAATAAGATCCTTTCCTTCTTGTTCAAAAATAATTGCTTTCACCTTTTCGATCATTGTATCCCACATATCATAAACAAGATGTAACTTTGGAGCATCAAGATCGACACTTCTAAGCATAGACACAATTGGTCTATAAACTTTAAAAAGTACTCAATCTTATCCCACCATTGGTCATTCATTACAAGGGATTTAATTCCACGCGTTTTAGCTTCAATCACTTTATCTCCCTTATAATTTCTCCAATCATCATCCAATTCCAAATAATTCCAATTTACTTTAACTAATATAAATTAGGTGTTCTTAAATGCTCTAATTCTTGATTTAGTTTCTAAAATTCACGATTATTCTTCTTTGTCATTTTTCTAAATTATTTTAGTTCATTCTCAAATCATGTGATTTATAATTAGCCTTAAAATATGTGTCACAACATAGCATATAATGGAGACCAAAAGGGTCAATTTTATTATGTACAATTTATAAATTTTCCTGGGCTTCGCGCGATCATAATTTGTCAAAACATTAACATGGTAATAATTAATTTAGAAATTATCCCTCATTTCTATGAGGAAAAAACATTTAAATAGTATAATTTGGTTAATTAATAAAATTTGTTTATTTAGAGTATATACTTATTTGTAATATATATGAAGTTTACTCAAATGAAAAATGTGTGCCTTTAAAGCATAAAAAAGATTTTTTAAAAATAATTGTTTATTATTTTGATTAAAACTAATTATTTTTGGTACAATTAAAACTCTAATTTATATAAACTTAAAACTCTTGAACATAGTATACGTAATGTTTATCTCATAAACCAACGTGGCAAAGTATTAGCAAAGATGTCGATTAACAAAGTGGTTAATTCCTAATTAGTCTCTAAGTCTTCTTCTCCATCCGATCTTCTCTCGCCTCTTCTTCTTTCCTTCTCTGAATCTTCTTCCCCAAAAAAACCTTTTCCATGTCTCTGTTTTTTTCCAGTACAACACGACCTATTTGAGCCCTTCCCAATATGCCTCAGTCCAGTAGTCTACCATCCATCTTCAGCTTCTCTACCCTAAAAAAAACACATGAGCTCTTGATTTTAGAGACCTGCAGCATGAACAAGAAGATTGACCAAGACAAAAAGCTTCAAATGAGACAAAAGAACTAGTATAAATTACTACATAGCAGCGAAATTAAAGGTATTTCGTTTCCCATCTCTTCAAATCTTTACTTAGGGAAATCAATTCTCAAAATTTTTCCCAAAATTTTGGTTAACGCACCCGATCTTGTATGACCGGATCCGACACAGATCCCACACCCTTACCCGTGTCCTAAGTTGCGCGGACTCGTCGGTTTTGGCATCGTCCCCGTCCCGATACGCGACGGGGACGGGATACATCCCGGATTCGGTCAACCGACTTCGGATACTTTGGCCGACCCAGCAGCGATGTAGATGGAACTTTGCGTTGAATGACTTTCATTTTCTATTATGAGGGAAGAACGAAGGGACGTGAATAACTATCAGTAAGAGCTTGAAAGAAGTAGGGGGATCTTGAGCATCTGTAAGAGCTTTAAAAGAATTTGGGGAACTGAGGAAGATGACCTAGAAGAGACGATACAGTTCCTTCCTAAAGCACTCTTAATTGTAATAATAATATAATAATATAATAATTTAATAAGATAACCCCTTTATTCTCCATTACTTTTTGTCCCCTTTATATAATACTATAATAAGATAACCCCTTTATTCTCCATTATATGCTTTTTGTCCCCTTTATTCTATGTACTTGTGACACGTAATTGAAAGGTTGCAATTTGCAAATGTTTCTTTCTCATACAATATACTCCAGTAAAATAATTATTAGCATATTGAATTTTTGCTATTTAATTTATATATTTTAATCGCGCAAAATTAATTTATACAAAATTATTTACTAGTTGTACATAATTTACTACTTGTATAAAAAGCTAACTATTATATTAGGGATCCCGTATTTAAAATATAATTAATAATATTTAAAGTTATCGAAATATTTGAAATGTAATTGTATGTTTGATAGGAACCAAGGATGAACTTTATCTGACTAATTTAATCGATAACAAAACATATACACTATTATATTGGGGATCCCATCTTATTAGATCGTTTGATCATTCCTATCAGTACAAGTTTTGAAGTTTCTTAGCCGTATCCCCGCACCAGTATCCATATCCGGATCCGCACCCCCGAATCTTACAATTTAGATTTTGCCGTATCCGATACTCGGATCCGTCCCCGTATCGGATACCCGCACCCGAGTCCGAGCAACATAGCCCGTGTCAATGTCGTGTCGACACGGGTACGACGCCCAAATTGTCGTGTCCGAGCAACTTAGCCAAAAGTGCCGTCAAGGTCTGTGTCAGATCCTCCAAAAATAATGTATTCTTTGAAGAATCCGACATGGGTGCAATAACATTTTTGAAGGATCCGCGCAACACAGTGACGAGCGCAAAACACAACAATAATTGTTGCTCGCTAGCCAAAGATAGTATTGTAAACACAGGGATTGGATTTAAACGATGTTCAAATAACATATGGTTTTCTGTTATTCAGGCTGATCAACACTTGATTTGAGGTAATTACTAACTACAATTAACTACTAACTAAGATTACGACTAATTGGAATTGATCTTAGAGAGTGAGAGTTGAACTAAATCGGATTGTAAGCAATATGAGAAATAAGGGCCGCGACAGGATAGGTGTAAGATATCTATTCGGAATCTAACTCTATTTAAATTCACTTCTAATGTTCTAATGATTCTCACGAATTCACTCGATGATTAGCTTAAACGTAAGGTTAAGATTCCTCTCTCGATTAAATCTGAACTCTACAAAAATAAACTAATATGAAGCACTGTGAAAATATGCAAGAACACGTTAATGGACTAGTCTTTAAGTAAACTTCTCTCGAATATTTTACTAACTTGGTCTAATCAATAATTCCAAAAGCTCTCTCGATTACTTAGAAGAATCACTAAATTAGACCAAACAAAATAATGAAAAGATAATCACCAAAATATTCCTCTTTCGATTAAATAAATCGGTGAATAATCGCAATCAATTCAAAGCTCCATAATCGTATTCAAACAATTAAACTAGAGTAAATCTACAAACAACGCTCAAAACACCAAATCCGTCAAAACCCTAGGGAAGAACTACTCCATAGATATGGAGAAAGTCATCACAAATAAGTTTAAGAACATAGAAACATCAAAGATAACTTTACAATACAAACTCTCGTTTTGCACCGATTGTTGGCAAGATAATTGATGAAATCTTATGTCTTCAAGCCGTGGTAGCTCTCTAAAACTCTCCTAGGTCCAATCCCCTTCAAAAATTATGTTTACAGTATATTTATACCGAGTATGGAGGGATTAAAATACCCTCTCTGAACCAAAATAAGATTACCTGTGCGAAAATTGCCCAGACGCGCCGCACTGGGCGCCGCGTTGTGCGCCACGTTAATGAAGGAATTCAGAAGCTTGCTCAATTTTGATGTCTGATGAACGAAATAAGAAAAACTTTGTCCCCCACGCAGGTAGACATGCCAATTATGAATATAGAATGTGAGTTCTTTGCTTATGCCAAACATTTGCATGCCAATTGTGACGTGGCATCGTTGTTTTATTCCCTTAATAATTGTTTCTCATTTTTTCTATGCATACTCGGTCATCGACCCCCGAACGCGATCCCAATTTAATTCCTTGGGTTTCTACTCAGACTTCAAAGCTCCAATTCATCCATTTTAGCTCTAAACTTGCTTCTCAACTATAAATCACATCCTACACAGCATAACACGTGTAATAAGTACAAAGTACTACAATTTAGGCTCAAATACAATCAAAGTGTAGTAATTAATTGGTGAAGTAAAGCCAAAAATCCATGATTCAAGCCCACCATCACATAGCCCATACTCAAACCATCAGTATTGAGGGCTTTATCTCTTGCATAATCTTTGATAGCAGCAGACACTTTTTCTTCCGGAAAAGGTTTTTGGATGTCAACATTATCATCCTCCGAGATTTCAGGAGTGTTGTCATGAGACCCAGGAAAAGTCCGAGAGTCTTGTTCCCTTTGAAGTTTCCTGTAGAAAGAAATGATTTCATCAATGATGATCCCCCTCTTTTGTTACCATTTCTCCCTCTATGGTGACACTATCAATGTAATTATATTTACGGTGCATTTGCCTTTATACCAAAGAATTTTTTGTCGTCCCCTTGCTTTAGCCAAATGCTACTCGATTTTTGCCTCCAAAAAGTTTTTCTTCCTGTTTGTCAATATCATCAAGTTCCATCTATCTTAATTAAAATATTGGCCAGGATATTTGATTTCCTGGTATCTAAATTGCCAAAAGAGTTTGAATTCCATCCCTTGATTTTAGATTTGGAGAATTTTAGCGTGGAAGTGAAAATGAAGTCAGGAGAGCCCTGAATATCAAAAGAATCCCACCAGTTTTTTATCATAACCCACAATTCTCTGCCTCCAACCATATTTGCTCTAACTTGAAGTAAGATCTTGACCCGTGGCCCCATTGGCTACACTGGAGGATTAAAGAGAGTGATGAGACAACTTTTCGGAGTAAGAATTGTTTGATAAAATCGAAACAATCATCCCACTCAATAGAAAAGAGAAATCTCTCAATGAGTTTTAGGTATCAGCCACCTACCAAAGGAGGGTCAATGAGTTCCAATTCAATGTGAAATCCATGAAATCCGTCATTCCTGGGGATAAGTCTTAGTGAAATTAAATTCCCACAAGTAATCCATGGGCCATCATGAAGTCCTCTAGTTGCAGTTAAATTGAACCACAAATCCATCTTCAACCTGGTATGTGGTGCATAAACTCCAGATAAAACAAAGGTGAAGTTCGATAATAATGTGTTTCATTTGCTTTCTTGAATTTTATTTTTGATTGGAATAATTTGAGTTGAATATTATTTGAAAAGAGAAAAAAAGAAGCAGACTGGGTTTTTATGAGACATGGGTTAACATATAAGAATAAGAACTTAAAAGTAGATGCAATGGACAAGCAAAATTTTGAACATCCTTTGGGCAGTCGAAGATTTATTACAGGTTTAACCGCTTCCCAACTTCCTCCAATTTCACTTTCTTGACCCCAAGCCTTTTTCCTCGCATGTTTACTTAATAGCTTATCATAGACTGCTAGTAACTCTTTAATTATAGTTGTCGCAATTTATATCTCAACTTAAGTTTAGCCAGGACCTGCAAGGTTGGTTGAACTTTGAAGCTTGCGCTTCCAAGCTTCATTTCTTTCTTTTTGAAATTTTACGTTGGGTAGCTTCACACAAAGGGGTAAGGTCTTTTAAGATTGTTTTTAGACTGAGAAAATGACTTTACATCGGCCAATAGGACAGTTGGCATATTCAATGTTGGAAACCTCTATGTATTTGCGCGTGTACACATGTATGTATACATGCATGCATTGTATGTATGTTTATAGATATATACATCGTAGATGTATATACGTATGACGGTGGTTCTTTCCATTTTCTATTGGGGTTAGGGGAATAGGTATGGGAAGAGAGGAGAAACTTTGTACTGACAACTGTCCCTTATATAAAATTTTAAAAAAAAACTGTACTGATAACTGTCTAGACAGAGAGTCCTCTAAATTTGCCTCTAGCGATTCAGCACATCCGAGCTTTTGATATTGAAGAAACAAGGTTTAGATATGAGGATGAAGAAGTATATGAGCAAAGTAGAATGCCAGGGAGTTCAATAATGCTAAACCCAAACAAGTTGAAACTTTCCATCAAATAGAACATGTGAACAGCTACAAAACTTCCCTAATCCATCGACTCTTTCATGTTGGTTATTTTGTTTGAAGAAATTTGAGATGAAAATACAGATGTTAACGGCGTTGTTGCTTTTTAAGCTCTAAATGTTGGGAGAAGCAACAAAAGGTGCTTTCCTACAGAAGGAAAATTCACTTATGTGATGGCAAGGTAGTGTTTAACCTTTCTCGGCCTTTTGGTTAAGATCAAGTGTGTGTTGAACCAAGTTACTAGTGAATTTCTACTAATAGTTAAAAAAAGTCAGCAATCCTGCATGCAGCTCAAATTTTTTTGGTTTGTTTGAGTAGTAAAGATTTTCTTACGTGGAGTCTAGGCAGAGGCGGAGCCATTGGATATGTAAAACTTATTAATTTAGAACCCAGTAACTTGAAAGGATTACAATCCCGAGGAGTCTAGACAGAGGCGGAGCCAAGATTTGAACCTTATGGGTTCGGGATTGTAATCCTTTCAAGTCACTGGGTTCTAAATTAATAAGTTTTACATATCCAATGGATTTTTTAAGACAAATACATGGTTTGAACAAAAGCTACTGGGTTCGGCCGAACCCGCATCCGGTACTCTGCTTCCGCCCCTGAGTCTAGATCACGGATAACTAGTAAATGGTGATTGAATAATGTTGACTACTAGATATATTACAAGGTAATGGGAATTGTTCATTCAGTCAAACAAGGGTGTCAGGTTTAAGTCCCATGTACCTTACTACCTGTAGATTGTTGTTCTCATGTTGTTCTGCATGTGGGTGTTATTCTCAATGTTATACTGATTTATTACCACCAAAAGATAAAGGCAGCATTCACGTAGGAACTTTTGTATTTGGTTCATCAATTGATGATGCTTGAGATACAAGGAATACGTCTCTAACCCTTTATCAAAAAGAAGGATGATAAGTGGTAGAAATATCATAGTATACATGGTAAAGTTTCCTACGAGGAAGATAGTGAGAGAGCGCCGAACTTTTAGTGCCATTCTGGGTGACTTTGGGACACAATTAACCTGACTTGTGGTGATGTTTGCTTTTACTGAAGTACACAGAGCAGGCCAGTTTACATCTTGAAGGGATATGAAAGTAGAGACATGTAGTTCCTAGTAGGCCTACAGCTATTAGAATAAGCAAAGGAGAAATTTTCTCTAAGAAAATTGAACTTTTCATTTGCACTCCACTTTTTAAGAACCAAAAATAAGGAAATAAGACATTCTTTAATATTCTTCTCTGTATTCCTCATCTTATTTCACCTTCCTTCTCTCATTTGGTAATAGTACTCCAGGGAATTCATTGAACATAATACTATGAGAATTAAAGAAACGACATGAGCAACTGCCAAAATCATGTTTCATTTGTTATCTGCCTCTAATCTATTATTACTCATTCTAGACCTGTCTTTCACCCTGCTGTTTACATATTTTACATTCCAAGTGAAATTCATTTTATTTATTGAGTTACTGAAATATCAACCATTCACGGAGGTATAATTTCCTTTCATTTGCATGTACTTTCTTTATCTTAGTGAGTTTTTCTTCTCATTTCCATATACTTTTGTTATTTGAATTTTAATATTTGTTCTATTTCTTTACGGCAGTTGACATTGTCATGTCCCTTCCAGTCAAACAGAGAGTGTAATAAAGCCATAAAATGTCCACTGCATCACCTCAAAGTGGTCAAGTTGTGTGGTTATTATAGCGGCGTAGTTCATCTTGAACTCGTGAGGTACTTTTTGGAAAATGCTGTTGGACTCAAGAGAATCATCATTGATACTAGGAATCCAATTTTTTCTCGCGTCCCTTTGGAACTTGAGGTAATTGGGAAGCAGCAAACTGCAAGAAATCTTGCTATGCTCCAGCTTGAAGGTGAAGTACCTCCAGATATTGAGTTGGTGATACTGTAAAATGTGTGTTTGTTATGAAAATAATAATGTTATTTTTCATTTATTAGGGCCTTCCCATTTAAATTTGTGCTAATAAGGGAGATTTGGTTCAGTATTATGATCCCACAAGGGGATAATATAATGTACCTGATTTAATTTTATAATTATTTGACCTCATTCTTTCTTTTGATGAATACCTTTCATTTTCTGAATAATGGAGCCATTCTCTCAAGGGAAGTAGTTGGGATTCAGTCCTGTAGTTTTAGCTCCAAAAGCTGCTTAAGATCATGCCAACTCTTCTGAATAAAATCGTATGGCTGTAATTTATTGTTACTAAAATGTATTAAAATCTGATTACTCTCACACAGTTTTTTAAAATCTGATTACTCTCACACAGTTTCAACTTCTGCTTCCTTAGATTCTTACGAAGCTCTAAAAGCTTTAGACCATATCAGTTGTCGTTTTCTTCTTCTAATTCACTGCTGCGTCTTTTACAAAGACCAACTATTTGAGTGAGGTAAAACTTTATTTTAAAGTACTAGCAGACGTTATTGAAAGGCCTTCTTCGTTACAATATCCTTTAGTTCGAGTATTAACGATTGAATTTTCCATGCAATCATAGTAGAGGGATTGATGTTACTGAAAGTTTTAGTGGTTCGTGGAAGCTAGCAGTTCTGCTAATTCTATCCTTGAGTTCTCAATTGTAGAAATAAGAGTGAAGAAGAAACCAAAAATTCTTTTAACTCGTCAACGTTAGCCATAGCCAAGAGATAACAGTTCATGTCTAACTTATTTTGAGATTTCTAATTAAGGTGTTAAGATTGCTTTTGACAACATCAATTTTAATGCCTAGAATTCATCAAAATTATTGAACCTCATAAACCTAATATTTACTAACAAACCTAGATTATATCGGAGACGGAAAATAAAGAGTAACTCCCTAACAATTACAAAAGCCTTTTTGCTTCTTTAGGATGTTATTCCAGTAATATTAATGTTACCCATAAAAGGAATTGAAAGCTGTGTGACAGTGAGAAGAAGCGCACAAGAAGAAAGGAAATTTTTTCTCAAGGTGCAGTTCAAAGTTCAAACTCCAGGAATTTTTCCTTAAGAATTCTTACTTCACCCCAAAAGAACAACATCGAGAAATTGTTGATTTATATGGTAGCTGGTTCAAGTATAAAGCACAATGAAGAAGAATGTTAGGATCGGGAACTCGGGTAGTGCGTAATATAGCCAAACAACGGTATAATGGCAATAACAAAGACAATAGAAGTTGATAACAACGGCAATTAAAGTAGATAAAGAAGACACAAATTTAACGTGGTTCGGTCAAAGTGACCTACGTCCACAAGCGGAGAGAGGCAATTTACTATAACAATAAGAGTACAAAAGATAGCACAAAATTAGAGTAAATACTCTAATTAATCCCAAATACCCTAAGAGAATAACCTCACAAGATCACTCCAAAGAAAGGGTACATACAAGTGCTTCCCAACACTAACTCTCATACAAAACACTCTTAATAAAGGAAGAAAGGAAGAAACAAGAATTGAAGACAAGTCTTGTTGGCGTGTTTAAAATGAACTAATAGTTTTTCCTTTTATAGGCAAAAAAGTCTTGGCCTCTTAGGTGTAAAAGAAGAGATACAACTTGTGCAAATGATGTCCAACACACAATGCAATATTTTTGGATCCCAAAGAATATTACCAACAAAGTCTATACTTTGCAAATATGCTTATGCTTATGTGAGATGGACTCCATTAGCCAAAATATTGGCCATAATTACAAAGAAGAAGTGGAGAAGATGCGTATGTATTATTATTTTAGTTTAGGTGTAATTTTGTCCATCTAATTACGAAGTGGCTAAATATTAGTACTTAGTATTGAAATGGTGGCTACATTCCAACTAGTGGTATAAAAAGTGGCTATTTACCCATTTCACTCCCAAAAATTTATCAATTTCCCAAAAAAACAATAAACGCTAGATTATACTAGCATGTTGAAATATATAGCATAGACAAATTTTTAGAAATCACTATTGTTTAGTAGCTATTAACTTCCTATAGCTACCATATACATAATTATCTCCTAGATCTACTATTTACTTTGTTACGGGACTATATTATGCGACTGTATTCGCGCTACTGTATTCATGAATACAATAGCAGAATTCGCCTAAAAAATAGGGGAGTCCAGCTATGTGACTGTATTCGCTGTATTCGAGCTACTGTATTCATGAATACAATAACGAAATTCGGCTAAAAAAATAGGCGAGTCCAGGTGTTTAATAACGGATAGAGATTCAATTAGCGTGTATCACTCCTAATTTAACTCAACAAAATCAATTCTATATAAATTTCGCTGCTACTGTATTATATTCCATATATTCGTGCGATTGTATTTATAAATACAGTGAGGTAATCAAGAAATATGGTGTATACCATTCTATTCAATTCGACTGTATACATTGTATTCAATTCCTATTCATTATTCACTATTATACATTGTATTCAATTCACCGTATTCAAATCGACTGTATTCAAACAACAAAAAATTACAAAACACATTGATGTTCGGATGTATTTAAAAAATACAGACCTTCGGAATACATAAATACATGCAAAAATATATATATATTTATACAAAAATATAATGTATTTGTACATAATACAATGTATTTATATCGTTGTATGTGACTAAAATAGCAAAGAAGAGAAGAAAGTTCGCTAGAGATGGCTTTTTCCGGCCAAGAAAAAAATTGTATACATTGTATTAAAACTAAAAATGGAGACGAACAAAAATCCGGCCTTCAAATCTTCTCCGGCGTAGTCACGGACAAATCTACTCCCTCTTCCCTCCAAATCTATTCTCTTCGCTTCAAAAAGTCCACCATATCTACCAAAAATGGATGCTACGATGACTGCCTTGATGGAAAGGAGAGAGATTTGAGGGAGAAGAAAGAGGATTGAGAATCCGGTGATAGAGAGAGAAAGAACATAGAAAGAAAGATTATAATTGGCGTAATTCGCTCCTCAATGGTAGGGTATAAAATAAATAAATTTTTTGCTATATAATAGAAACTATAATTAATAGTATTTTGAATATGTTTTGGTTTATAATAAATATGGTGTATTTTCTATATGAGGTAAAATTTCCTAATTATTAGGACTTTTTCTATTTTTAATCCGCGTCAGAAACTATTTACAGTCGCTAACCGGAAAAATATATAAAATTTATATCATTTTTATATATAACATACAGAATATATATATATATATATATNTCAAATTATTATTTATCTTCTATATTAATTTATCTTCTAATCTTAATATTAAATGTCAATGGACTTTTTATCATTAGATATTGAAATTAATTTCATGTGACAAAGTGTATAATTACAAATTGACATGTGTCTTTTTTCTGGGTATAAAAGATAATTTCATTCTGCATCGAAAAGGTATTTTTCTTTTTCTTTTATTTTTAGAAAATGAAAGACAATTTGATTCCTAGTGATAAACGTACTTTCTTCCGACTGCTTTCATTAAATCTCTCTCTCCTTTTCTCTTAGTCGCCGCATATTTACAGTCTCTGGTCAGCAGGATCACTTGTTTTGCTGGTATCAAACAGAGTGCATCTTTCTGTTCCAGGTAAATCCATCCCTTACGTCTTCCATGGAATTTTTGTTGGTTTCCATCTTATATAGTTTCATGTCAAAATACAGTCTTTTGGTCTTCCAACTCTACACTGCCTCTTTCTTTTCTCCCCTTTTGGTCTAAATACCCTAGATGGTAGTCTAGGCCCTCCTGCCGCCGCCGCCCTTTTTATTATTTTGCTCTTATGACTTTAAGATCTGAAGTATTTGTTCATATTGTTTATATTGTAGTTGGAAGGAGAAATAAAGATGCAAACTTTATCTGTCTTTGTATATGAGCGGACACTCTCTTTTGATTAATATTTCTGTTATGCATCTTATTGATGCCATTTAATGAAATTCACTTACTACAAACTTAAAAACGCAAACTGTATCTCATTCCCATATTTTTCTTTGGCTAACACCCCTCCACTTATATAGGAGATTCATTGCATTTCATGGGGAAAAGAGTTCAGCTTTACGACAATTTTGCTCTGAAGAAGGTGAGAACTTGGCTTCTGAACCCCCCCTCCCCCCTCTCTCGATTTGATTTGCCACTCTTTGGTCATTAATTGTGTAAGAATGGATTAGTTTAGTAAATCTCATTTGGTGTCTATTTTCTGTAGTGTCAAAAGGGAGTTTGCACTGAATAGGATCGCATTAGTCAGTTACCTGATAAATTCTGGTTTATAAACTATCTTTCCTTACCGTTAAGGAAGCAGCTGACACAAGTGTCCTCTCAAGGTGTTGGCTGAGGTTGTGGAAATATATTCCTCGGCTTGATTTTGATGCTACCAAACCCTTGGATGAAGTAGAGTAGAGAGGGTCAGCTGTACTTGCAAATGTGTAGAGAGACTAGACCAATTTCGGGTTTGTTTTGACTTAAACAAATTCGCGCGGCATGAGATTGACAAATGGCTTGAATTTACCTTTTCTGGGAAAGTTCAAAGACTAGAGTTAAACTTATTAAAGTGTGGAGAGGACATTCGGTATTTTGGTTACTGTTATACTTTTCCAGCACGGCTCCTTGGTGTTAGTGATTTTGCTGACTCTTCTTCAGGCCAACCTCAGCCTAATAATTTCCAAATACTCCCACTTGCCAAGCAGAATTTCAAGTCCTGTAAGTACTGCTGTTGAAATCCGTAAATGTGACGGGCGAAGTTCTTGACTTCTTTCTACACAACTGTCCGTTTCTTGAAAAAATAGTAGTTCATGGATCAGGAACATTGGTAAATTTGGAAGTTCTCGATCCGTCCCTCAGGTTGAGACACTTGGAGATATGGTACTGCTACAATGTGGAATCACTTCAAATTTGTGCTACAAACCTTATAACATTAAGGACTTCAGCAGGAAAGAAATTACTGCTTAAGAATGTCCCTACGCTGGTTGAGGTAGACATTTGGGGTTGGCCACACCCATATTTTGGATGACATATCCTCGCGTCTTTCCCGCGTTCTCTCTCAGCTAGAGGTCCTTACAATACATGCTTCTCATTCATTGGTTAGTGACAAAATTTGTGTCTATCTACTTTTGTTTTGCTTGCACTAACTGGTGCCTTCA